TGGTTTTTTGAGACAGGGTCTCACTATGTAGTTGAGACTGATCTGGAACTCACTATGTAGCCCAGGCTGGTCTTGAACTCAGCTGATCAGCAATCCTTCTGCCTCAGCCTCTCAAGTGCTGGGATTACAGGAGTGCACCACCATACCTGGCCTCCGGAAGAATTTCTACACATTGTCCATCTGAAGCCCGGGTGACCTGCCCATTTTACAGATTGTCTTCTTTAACATGTCAAAGTCTGCTGGGAAGCACAGACTTCTTGTTCTTTGAAAAGTTCACTCTGTGTGCATGTGTGTGCATGCGTATATGTGTGAAAGGGGAGAGGAAACGAGGAAATGGCTACACCATGTGGTCAGTGCTGTAATTATGGTGACCATGTTCTCCAAACCACAAATCAGGTCACATGGGCTGTCAGAGGCTATTTTCTGCCTCCTCTGAAGTCCCAACATGAAATCACATGTAGTTATACATTCACTGTATCACCTTTTATTTTTTAAAAAGAAGTAAATGACATGAAATTTGGATTATCCTTAACAAATCCCACTCTATTCCCAGAAAATCACTAGAGCTGTGTTTGGGGTCCACGCAGGTCTCTAACCAAGGTCTACAAGGGGTGTTGAGGGCTAAATAGGAGGTCCATGTGCAGAGAAAGGGACTGGCCTAAATGTGCTTGGAACAGGGCCTACTCTTCTTGCTTTTGCCTGCTCTGCAGGCTAAGGGCCAGTTATTTTTCACTTTCATTATTCCAAAGACCAACTCTAGCTTCCTGGGCAACAAAATGGCTATAGACCATTGAAATAGTGTGGTTACACTGTATTCCATCTTTTTATGGATTTAGAGGTCTGTCTGTGGCTGACTGCACAGGGTATTGCTGAGGACAGGGGTGACATGTCTTGTTCATCCCTGTGTGCTCCCCCTGCCGTGGTGTGAGTTAAGATTCTAGAAGAGGTGCTAACCAATCAGTGTGAAATGAACAAAGTGCCATCGTGGGCATTTGGAGGCGGGCAGTGTCCCCTGTCCCGTGATGAATCTATCCAGTCTCCTTTCATCTCTCAGTCGGTTGCCACCGCGTGCCTGGTGCTTCGAAGGACGTGGGGCTCAGGGTGTGTCTGAGACAAAAGTCCTTCCTGGAGGATTCCCACCAACAAGGAACCCCAAGGGCCGTGAGGAGGGAGAGGAAGTGTATTCCTGGAATCTGGCCTGAATTAGTGGTTGGGGAAGGCTTGGGAGGAAATGAAATTTAATCTGGAACCTAAAAGAGCACAGCTAAAATTTATATAGCGCTTACATGTGACAGATGCCACTAAGGGTTCTCCCCGTGTAGCTCATTTAATTTTTACAAGCAGCCCCAGGAAGCAGATACTGTAATTGATTATTTGTTTATTTATCAAGATGGGGGGGCCTCAGTATGGGCTGGCCTGGAACTTGTGGCGATCCCCCTGCCTCAGTCTCCCAAGTGCTGGAACTGCCCATGTGCTGCCACTCCAGGTTTGATCCAGACTTTAGAGATGAGGAAACAGCACAGAAAGGCTCAGAAATAGGCCAAGTTCATGTCGTTTAAATGTGGCAGAGCCAGGATTCAAACCTAGGGAATTTGGATCACATCCAGACCCTTCACAAGGCACAGGTCCGCAGAAGGGGCAAGTGGCGCATGTGTGCACAAAGTACCAAGACACGACGGGGCTGGACACCACGCAGGGCTTTCATCCTGGGAGAGGGGAGTGATAGGATAGGGGTGGGGTTAGGTGGGAGAAAAGAAAAGCTACACATAGTAGCACACACCTGTGATCCAGTACTCAGGAGGCTGAGGCAGGAGGATGGCTGGGAGTTCAAGTACAGCCCAGGCTACATAGTGAGACTGGTCTCAAAGAAACAAAACAAATAAGCAAACAAAACCAGAGCCAGGAGCAGTGAGACCTGCTCCCTGCTAGGATGTGGGGTCCTGACTGGGGCATAGAGGTGCAGAAAGCACAGTGAAGTCGGCTTTGACTTGAACTGGATGGAGCTGGCTTTGGGATGCCAAGGAAGCCATCAAGTGCACACTGGGAGTCCCCGGGCTGGTGAGGGCCTGAGCGGGGTGCACAGCAGCAGGGGGTCCTGGAAGGAGGGAGCCCCAGGCCAGCTTGAGAAAGGTGCCAGGACCGCACGGGTGGAGCTGGAAAGCGGACCTCAGCCTCCTCTGCAGGTCCCTAGGTGGGGCCGGGCCTTCCCATCTACCTCACAGGCTCCCCAGGTGGCAGCCAGGTGGAAGGCGTTGGCTGCCTCTGTGGGCAGTGCCTCCGAAGACTGGAGAGGAAGAGGAAAGGCTGTCAGGGACTTGGAGTGCCCTCGTCAGCTTGAGCTGCAGTGTGGCTCCTCCTCGGCCTGCCTGCCTGGGAGCTCCATGCTCCTTCAGGTGACCACTCACTGCCTTCGCCTGCCACAACCTCCACGCCACCAGGCTCTTGGATGAGGCCCGGCCACAGCGCCACCCGTACAGTGTCGCTCGTCATCTGCTTCACACCCTGTGTGGTCCTCTTGCCCATTCTTTGCTTCTTGTTTCCTCCATCCTGCTCCCTGGCAGCACTCGGCTTTTCCTGAGGCCTCTGCATGGGTGGTGCCTTGTGCCCCTCAGAGCTCGGCCCTCAAGCCTCCTTCCTTATTTCACTCCCCTCTTCCTGTGAGCCACTGCGCCTGCCCTCAGCTCCCCAGCAGGCTCAGCTTGCCCGCCCCCCGCTAAGAGGAGGGACATGAGGTCCTCTCAAAACAACTTCTGGAGAGTGCACACCTTGTGTCTTTGAGCTCTGCGCCCTCTTGTCCGGAGCACAGTGCCACAGTGCAGGGAAGAGGCGCTTGTGTGCATCTTCTAAGGGGCTTGCTTACTGTGCCCAAGACCTAGGCCATATTCCAGGACTTCGGACCGTGGGCCACCGGAACCCAGATCACTGCAAATTGGCTAGTTTATGCTGTTTCCCTGCCCCACTGGTGGTGGCTGGAGTAGCTAAATTGGTTGGATGTCACAAGCTATCGTACATGGGCTGCATTTTGGGATTGCGGCCACCATCCTTAGGCTCAGTCCTAGCTGATTTACTGCCACACCTAAGTGTCACAAGGGCACCTACGGGAACCTGAAGCCTGGTCCCATCTCCCAAGATGTGTGTTCAGCCTCAATGTCTTTTTCTTCATGAGCTGTGAGTAGGACAACAGGAAGTCCCTTTCCTCAGCATAAGGGGTTACCTTGGGGGAGACAGGATGGGTTTGACCTATCCTTACATGCCCGGGTTGCCTTCTTTATGCTTTTTTGCTGATTGCTCTAAGATTTTTTGGAGCTTTATTCCTAAGGTTAATAATCTTATTAAGCCTCTGAAGGTCCTAAGAAGCCAGTGAGCTATTGTTTTCCAAATTTGACTCAGGTCTTCCCCAGACCCACAGAGGCAAGTTCTCCAGTGGAGAAGCCTGGCAAACTGTATCCTTAACAACTTCCTTAAAGGATCCACAACCAACACTTCTCAGTCTCCACCCCGCCTTTTACAGGCTGGTCCAAGGTTGGCAGGAAGGCCCGAGCTGGGAGTGGTCAGGTGTCAGCAGCAGCTTGGGGCGTGGCCTCAGCGTTCCCATCTGCTTACTGGGGACACCTTGCCTGACAAGCAGGGACCTTGTGATGGATGGGATATCAGTAGGGGAGGGAAACAAGCACAGGGGGAGAAGAAATTTGCACAAGGTCATCCACCTCTCATCTGCCTGTTAGTTGGCAGGCGGAAGATTCAGCTGGGAACAACTTGTTGGGGGAGATGACATTCTAGTGAACAATGAACCAGTCAGTCCGGGAGCCAGATAATTACGGTAAAGGACACGCAGGGGTTGGGGCGCAGGGCAAGAGGGTGTGCAGGGAGAGGTCCTGCGCTCGCGCAGGGTGGGTTGGGGGTGTCACTTCGGCAGAGACTGTGTGGCCTGTGTGGTCCGGAGGGAGCTGTCCGAGGAGGACCTGCGGGCTGTCACCGGCCCCGTAGTGGCAGAGCCGGGAAGACCCCGCGGGCCTGGCCAGGGCGCTCTTGGGGCCCTCCGAGGCGTAACGGGCGCGGGTCTTTGTCTCCCTTCTTCTCTCTGCTGCCTCTCCCGACCCCCAGCGCTGTTCCTCTCTGACCCCAAATAACTTGTTGGCTTCCCCGGGCTTCGTTTCCCCGAGGGTCGTCGCCCCCGGGACCCTCGGCAGCTGCCCACGGCCCTCGCCTCTGACACCCCCTTGGGCCCCCGCCCCCTACCCTCTCCG